CCATGTTGACCAGGATGGTCTCGATCTCTTGACCTCGTGATCCACCCGCCTCGGCCTCCCAAAGTGCTGGGATTACAGGCTTGAGCCACCGCGCCCGGCCCTTATTTTATTCTTTAAACCATAAATTTGTCATACATTCTCTTGTATGTAGGAGCTACTTACATATATACATAGAGCTGGCTGGGAAAAGCTAACAATGGATTATGGAAGAGAAACACATGGCATGTTAAATACAGTGGGGAAAGCCCAGTGTTTTGATGAAAAGAATGGATAAGAGTGGAATCCGGTGATAGAAATGAGACAGGAAAAGCAAACCGAGGCCTGATCCTGGAGGGCTTTGAAAACCATGAGAGTTTGGGCTTTGTCTCATATGCGGTAGACTGTTGGAGAGTGATGTGATCAGAGTTGGATTGTGGAAATTTAACTTTGGTGGTAGTGTGGAAGACAGGTTGGTTATAGAACCTGTGCAGGAAGATCTGTTGGAAGGTTAGAAATGTGAAGATCTTCAGGGACATGGATGGAGCTGAAGCCATTATCCTCAGCAAACTAAAGCAACACAGCATGTTCTCACGTGGTGAAATCATCACTACTGAAAATACAAAATTTAGTCAGGCATGGTGGTGTGTCCCAGCTGCTCCGGAGGCTGAGGCAGGAGAATCGCTGGAACCCAGGAGATGGAGGTTGCAGTGAGCTGAGATCATGCCACTGCACTCCAGCCTGGGCAACAAGAGTGAAACTTTGTCTCAAAAGAGCAAGCAAGCAAGCAAGCAATTACCGATAACCTTACAGATTGTCAGAGACACACCAGGGACTCAGATGGGGGACCACACCCATCCTCTCACACACAGAGAGGGGAGCAGTCTCCCTACCGTAGACCACACAGTGACGGGCTATCAACAGCTGCATCGCCCCAGCCTCTCCATTATGGCCCCGGGCTTCTCACCTGCCCTAGAGGGGCCCTTGGGCCTCCCCCTACCACCTTCTCTCTGTTGCTCACTTTAGCTCTTCTCTGTGCCCCTGTTTATGGCCAAAGGCTGGGGATCTTATGAG